GACTGACAGACAGCATTCAACATTGCTTCTGAAACCCTAAATGGGTTGGTTTTCAAAAATGTAGAGCTTCAAGCCAGTACTAGGGCTTTGGATAGCACTGATAGCACCTGCAAACCAAACCAACCTATGTCTTTGTTGAGGATGGAAAACTAACTGGCCAATACAAATCGTAGGGAATTCCATAAAGCTAGAGTGTTAGCTGACCTAAGGTCATTCATTTCAAATAGCAGGCCTCAAATTTCTAAATAGCCAACTGTAAAAAATATTTATACTAATAAAACAACTCAATACATGTAAATAAGAAAGAAAATGATGCAAAAATCGTGAGAGTTGACCCTATTTGGTTGCACAGTATGTGCATCATAGAGCTTCCACACTGCTTATGGCAGTGGTGAAGTTTTCCCTCTGAGCAGGTTCATTTAATTAACCCCAAGATTCTGCCAAGAGTCTGTGAAAAATAATGCCAGTTTTTGGCTCACTCCCAAATCATGCAGAGCAGCGACATGGCAGGTAGCCATCTGCTGTGCTCATTGTCGAAGTAGCAAATGCCAAGATAGGCTCTGAAGCGTCCATAATACAGATGGACATAAGCCATTCCAGATCAATAGAAGCATTCATCATATTACCTAAGCTACTCATCGCTCAAGTTCAATTGCTAAAAATGGCATCTTTCTCGGGTTTTGACCAAAATATAAAAGTGTGTTCTTCTACCACCACACAGACAAACCAATGACAAAGGAGGTCTCCCTGAGCTTACAACTAAAGAACAATTTGGAGCAGGGATATACAAGGTAGAGTTAGACACGACCTCTTACTGGAAGAACATGGGTTTGAATGGCTTCCAACCCCATGTTGATGTAAGTATTCATTTTCTCTTGTACTTCGGTTGCAAAGAATAAAGCTACTTATTATGTCTATGCTTTAGGTACTTAGTCTACACATTGATTTTAAAGTATTTTCATGCTGATACTCTAAATCTACAGTCTAAAAGCTTTGTAACAGCACACTCATGACAGAGCCTAGTTACTCTCAATAAGCTCTTAAATGTGTTACTTACGAAGAGGGTTTCCATCGTTCTATCTCTGCTTAAACCTGTGATTCTTTCTGTGACTATTCTAAACACCTGAGAGAGAACAGGTAGAGTACTCTGTTAAGGCTCCTGGGAAAAGAATTTGTCTGCCTTTTGGACCCTGTATTTGTATGGCTACAGAAGAAGTTTATAATTTAGATTTTTAAAGGCAATGGAAGTATGTGCTGTGTTCTGGAGGCTCGGATTCTCAGTTTCCAACAGAAAAAAAAAGTGTAACATGCCTTTTTAATTTGCATGGGACAAATAAACTGGTTAGAGGAAGGTGGTTCAAACCAGGGACCAAGGGAGGCCTGCTGCAGGAAGTGGAACTCCTTGGAGACTGTCCCCTTCCCCTCCACAGCACCAGGGCTTTCCTATGATCTTTTAGGAGTAGCAGTAGCAGTTCTAAATTAGTTGTTAGATGGACTGTGACAGATCTGCTCAGCCATTCCTCCTCTCCTTGGAGAAAAGTTGAAAAACATCTGGGTTAGTTTTGTTTCTGCCTTCCTGAAACAGATGAAAGATGACATTCTTATACTTGACAGTAAAGAAGGTTAATGCTGAATAGCCTCGCCTATGGTGATAACTGAACTAAAAGGGGGAAGATAAAAGATTTACAGCGTGCAAATAAATTGATTATATATCAAAATAATGTTTAAGTCTATATTTGAGACTAGAAATTACTTTAATCTAGATTACAAGAGCCTTCTTTCTTAAAAATGAGCCTCAGTAGGGATTTTTTTTCCATATGCATCTTCTCTATTAATATTGAAGGGAGCACAAACTGTGCTCCCTGTGGATATAGACTGTATCCAACACTATTTTAAAAGTTGACACCTCTCATCTCACAACACAAAATAATGTACTACATGAGAAATCAAAGAACAGGATTTCTGATTGCTGATCAGGGAGATAGTAATAGGGCTGTTGTAAATTGTTCATATGTAAGGTTATTCTCATACTGCGGCCAAAGAACTAATGCAGTCCTTCCCTAACTAGTACATTTGGAACTGAAGAAACTCATTGTTTCATACTTTGGCCTAATGATAATTACTGTTGTACTGTTTATTTCTGTTCCTCGAAGTTCAGACTTCATAAGAGCAACACAAATATTCAAACACTTGAAAGAATAGGCGTTCCATTTTGTTTGGTTTTTTTTTTAATAAAGACAACTTGGATAATAAATACATTTTAGAATATGTAAATATATTTTAAATAATGTGATATTTACACTCTTAATGAAAAAATATTTAACCAGTGGAAAAACTGTGCGTTACAAGAGTCACAGTTCAGAGAGAGAATATTTCTGAAGTTTTGTGTGAAATTACATAAAATGATCACAATGGTTCCATTTAGGCTTGTATCTAGGCTTGTAACAATTCTCATTTGTCTTGTATTTGTTTTTTTCTTTTTCCAGGTGGTGTTCCCAGCTAATGATGCTGGTTATCGACATTACTCCGTTGTTTTTGTCCTTAGTCCCTTTTCTACCTCAACTACAGCAGTTGTTAGTGAGCCAGTGGAATAGAAGCTGACATTAATCATGAAAATTCAGATATGTGAATTAAAACTTCCATAAATGATAAAAACTTAGTATCTGTTTTTATCAACAGCTTTAGATTTCATTGTAAATCACTAACAGTAAGAGTCAAGTTGTTTATTCTCTCAGCTTTAGGAAGAATGTATACTGACTTTGTTTTCAAATACTCTTCTGAATGCAAATGTTCTGTATTTCTGTATTCTGTCAGTACTGCCCTTCTGAATAAAAGTTTAGGGTTTGAAAAAAGAATGCAAAATAAGCTCAGGAAAAAAATGTATTGAAATTCCATTATTGAAACTCTGAGGATAAACCAAAGTCTTGCATGAAGTTAATAAACTACGTTTCTTTTTGCAAAGGAAGTGTACAAAACACATCTGAAAGGTGTCTCATGAAAAGCAAGCAAATACAATCCACAACTACCATCTCCTATACTTTGTCAGTGAAGCCCACAACAGATGAAGTCACATGGGATTACTTACTCAGGGTCCTACATAATTAGCAGATAAACTCACCTTTCAATTCTGATTTTTGAGATATAGAAGCAAAAGCAGTTTAAAAGTAACAGCAAGGTAGAAGAGCGTTTAAGGATTCTAACTATGCTACATGTACTTAAAATGCCTTCTTTCCTGTTTTCCAATATATCATAGCTGGTGACACTTTCAATGAGAGTCCATTGCCAGTGTTTCAGAAAAGTATATCGATCAAACATACCTGAAGAAGTTTATTCATGTAATTTCAGAAAATTCTGAAAAATAATTTGTCTCCAGCTGAAGTACTCCCCAAAATTACTTGCATACCTCTAACCATCTGACCCTTTAATAGCTGTAAGATACAAATAAAAATAAGGATAACTGATGATTCCTGAGAAAACCAGCTTCCTGTTCAGTGTCATGAAAAATATGGATGAATTCTTCTATTCCCATTCTAGTAATTCATATATAAAGAAAAAACCTTAAGAGATTCAACAGAATAGCAACCCTGTCTTGGAAAAGTATGCAAAAACACTGAGTCATTTAGCCTAATAAAATCAAAAGCTGAAAGCTTATAAATACCAAAAAAAGGGAGAACTCTTTGCTAGCCTAACACTTGATCCTGTCACAGCCCAACCTGATATATTTGGACAGGTGTATCCCTTCCTTTTGCTGTTACTTCGGGGTTCTGAGCACTAGAAAAAATGAGAGCTTTGTCTAGAAAAAAAACCACAAAGATGATACGCTTTCCACAGAACCTCAGAATAAACAAAACAACACAATCTTTAGAACATTATATTTCATAAAAGACAATGATAAAAAAAGTACAAACATTTTCATGAAAAACAAACAAACAAACAAAAAAAAAACCAACACCAAAGCTATGATAGTACACAGGAAATTCTCAGCATTTGTTTCAGTGCATTTTTCATTAAGCCTATCTCATATACCTCTATAAACAAAATAATCTTAGGTACACTTCCTCTTGCTGATATGAAATGCATCCTTTTAGCTTTTTTAAATAACTGGCTCATTAGTAACCCACTACAATATAGTCATTAGTAAACATAACAAGAGAAAAATAGACTGTGAAGATCAAAAAAAAAGGGCATTTTGCACTTGCTTTTCAATACACTGTCTACTGCAAAGTGGACTTTTGTTTTATATTCTCTGATTTATATTTGAAATATAGAAAATGGGCTTAAGAGTATCATAGCATAACAACCAGATTCCACTGTTGGTAATTCTGTAATGTTTTCACTTGTTAATTTGCAAGACCTTCAGAATCTTGTAAAAGACACCCTTTTTCTTTTCCCTCCACGCTCCTTCCTTGAAGAGGTGTCCTTAACATGCACTGTCAGCAATGCAAAAGCCAATGTGATCGGCTTCTTTCTACATTTTACAAGAATCATGAAAATATCAAAAGGAATGTGCACAACTCTTAGTTCTGCATCATATTTATTTTGTTTGAAGGCACTGTCTATGTTAAAATTCACTACAGAAGAGTACTGAGTTTAAGCAGGTAGTATACAAACACTATTGTGATGTAATTTAAGATGGCAACTTTCAAAACTTCCCAACGAAATGGTAAAAGGTACTTAGAGAATAGTGTTGGTCAGCAATTCATAATTTAACATCCATCACTTTGGGGCACCAAAATGTAAATGTTCTAAGAACTCAGCTATATGTCACAATTCATTCACATACTGGTTTAAATCACATTTTTCTAGGACCATACATGATCAATCACTTAAAGCTTTAAGTTACGTTAGTTCAGCCACAGCAAATGTGTAATATAGTATGTATATATGTAAGTATATATACATATATATGCATTAGATATTTTTTTTAAATTGCACATAAATTTCACAGAATGCCTAACAAATGGGCACAAAAGCATGCTTCAGAAAACAGTACAGACCTGTGGTACCAAAGGATGTTTCATAATCATAGGCGTGAAACTGAAGGAGAAATTGTACTGAAAACCAGAAATCACATCAAAATTACATCAAGGATTTAAAAAATTATTCAACTGTTCTTAAAGAATAGTATTATTCTGCTATGAAATAGGACTAATTTTATTTTGAAGATATAATTGTTCATACACTGTATTATCTCCCCTTTCTCCATATGCTTCAGAATGTTCTATATAATCAGTTATAGAAAAATCTGTTAGGGGGTGATTGAACCACTTCAGCATGCTTTTGAAGGATGTTTTCTTCACTTTATGCTTTTAGGTATTCTCACTGTATTACTTCATTCCTAAAGCATATTAGATTAACTGGCAGATTTTAAGGTAATTCCAATACGGTATAACAAATCCCTTACAACTGTTCTCAACTACTTAAATTAAATAACTGTACTTCTACTAATATTCGGGATGCCTACAACTAAGCCCATAACCTTACTGAAGAATGGCTAAGGGCAGAATTTGCTGCTGTGATGTCAAAGAAATAAAAGATGTTTAAGGCAAACTTAAAATATACAAAGCACCACACTATCTGTGGCAGCAATTCAGGAAACCAACACATAGTAATGACTTAAAGTTCGTATTCTTTGTCAACACTCTTGAAGAACACTCTATGGATAAACAATCCTTATTATATATACTGCTTTCCATTCTTCATGGGAGCAGAAGTCCGTCTTTGGTTCCTAAGGAGCTGAGCAACTGTGACAAACAAAACAGTTTAATAGATCTTGGTCAGTGTCTTTGCATTAACATAGAAAATATATGACCTGGCCCTTTCCCTTAGTATAATAAGGGATGTAAAAAAATATTAGGAAAAGATAGTAATGCTTAGCAGTGGGATACTTTTAAGTAGCATAACATTACAATCAAAGAGAAAATAAGAAGATATGCTTTTCATTATAAGTTGAGGAAAGAGGCTCATAGTTACTCATACATATAACACCACAGAAATAGAGAAACAGACAGGACCCATCCTTAGCAGGACTGCACAACCTCAACCTCATTGACGCTCATCGACTCGAGGATACTTAGTGCATCACAGAACCACGAAGCACCCTGCCAGAACAGGCCTTCAAATAGCTTTATTGAATAATGTATTGTGAGTGGAATTTTAAAAAGCACTTGGGATTGGCCTGTTTTCAGTTCCGCTTTTGGCATCATCATCCCCCATCAGCAGAACAGTGTGACCAACACCATGGTTCTGAAAATCCCACACTGCAAGCATTAGAACTATTAGAACTATGTTTTTTTTATTCTCTTAAAAATCTAACTTTGATATTCTTCCAATGAAGACACATTTTTGGCTCTTCTGATTTTGGAGGAATAAAAGTGCTGTTTACTAAGGTTCTTTGTTTGTTTTTTTTAAAAAAAAAGAACAATACCAAAATACTGTACGCACTCAGACACATTGTTTTAGGCATTAAAATCCCTGACATTGACACAAGTGGCACACTTGGAAACAGTTAGAGTTCCTGTAGATCATAATATGCAACAAGCGCAAGATCTTCTGTAATACACGTGCAATATGCATATAAATAGGATTTAGATGGCAGGCAGGGTATCATACAATTTTACTGGCAATAAATAAAATTAAAAGCTTTCTTCCTAGCAAGTTTATATACAAAATTGATTTTTCTACATAGATATGCAGGAGGCCTAGAGCTCAAAACTAGTATAACAGTTTACAGTCATAGCTGGCCAACAATTAATATTTCCTTCATTTTACATAAGGTATAACCTTTTTACAAGCATACTTACATTTTACACTTGTTCTTTCATGCTAATAAAAACATTCCTATAGAATTCAAACAAGAACATACTCAAATACATAATATTGAACAATTGAAAAGCAATGTAAACACATTCATTTTACATCACATATTTACAAAACACATTTTTAAAAAGAAACAAAAGCATTCATTTAAATACGAGGGGGACAGCAGTTTAGTATAAAAAAATTCCTGGAAGAGGCTTCTGTCTTTACTTCCAGAGAAGCTACAAGTCTGTTTCCTACAGTCTATTTAGTTGAATGGTTAAGATAGAGAATACGAAGAGTGAAGGCTTGAACAGTAGTCTCATGCTGTAAACATCTGAGTGGTAGCTGCTGGCTTTTCTTTCAGAACAAAATGCATGGTAAATACAATAATTTCTCATCCCAAATATGCATCATCAAATGGTCAGAAAACTCTAATTCTAAGCTGCTGTTTTTTGGGTTTGTTTTGGTTTGGTTTACAGTGTCTATTAGCAGCTTCCAGTGTTAAAAGTTTATTCTGGTAAGGTAGCTTGTCATTCCACTTCCATCAATAGTCTCTAACAGGAGCAAGTTCTGGCATGAGATTAACAGTTATATTTTTATACAATCTACTGACAATTATTTTAGGAGTATATACTAAATTGTTCAATCCATCAATATACTGACGTTCTCTGGAATACCTCAGAAGTTTATATCTGTAGAGGGAGATGGAAGAAGAAAACATAAGATTTGCAAGAAACAATTCAGTTGATGTTAGACACGAATACCGTGACAGTAATTTCATTTTGAAATACATCTTAAATTCTGAAACTACCTTTCTGCTTTTTGAAATGACCAAATTACCTTTGAAAGAAAGCTTTGAAAGAAAGATTTTAAAGACTTATAATACAGTTAGATTTTATATTTATATACAAGTTAATATCAAGACTAAATAACAAAGGAGGCATTTAATAGTCCCAAACTAAGCAGATTTTTAAAGATTATTCAATTTCTTCACGTTGCTTTGTAATAGAACTCAACTGAGGAGCTCAGGGAAATATTTAGAAACCTTCACTGGTCATCACTACAGATTTAAACGTCTGAATAGTTTTTTATTTCACTCTTGAGACTCTTGCATTTGCAAACGTCTAAATTTGAGGTCATAAAAAAAACGGTTCCCCTCCCCTAGATTACGAGTAAATATACATTTTATTTTCATGTAACAGATCTCCTTATGTCTACTGTACATGTCTATTTTAAAATTATCAATAAAACAGAAAAAATTTGTTCCCAGAAGGAGACATCCACTGGTAACAGGATTGAGCAGTACTTCTAATTACCTGAAAACACACATCTTAAACCCTTTATTTTGTGTTTCACATTCCAATTTTCACATTTAGCTGCATTCTGGTTGCTATTCCAGTGTAGGGTAGCCGGAACCTACTGGCCACCTAAAGCGTTTTGAATCTTTGTGGCAAAAGAAAGGAATCCCAAAACGAAAATTTATAACAGCGTATGCAGGAAATGCATCTCACAAAATAATGAAAGATGATGGAAGAAACCAATCCTTGAGGAACTTTAAAGTCTGTTTTCATGCAGGAGTTGCTTGCCCCAGCTGTACTCCTTCCTTTTGAAAAATATCCAAATTAACCAACTGATGGAGCCCTGCCAGCACTAATGCCCAAACTATTATGGAACAACAACATTTTGCATCAAAGGTTAGGATGATAATATCTTCTGACACACAAAGCCAGTCTCTCTCATGGTTAAATAAGAAATATCTGAACAGCAAACATAATGTGTTTAAGAAAGTATACAGTTAAGCACCAAAGAGGAAATAACACTGATAAGCACTGACTGCTTATTCATACGAGTGGATATAAGAAAAAGTTTTACATCTTTAGCAGTAGTATTTGAATATTTCTGTTTTTCTTACCGTCCTAAAAACTGGACTTCACCTCTGTGATGATGAGGAATGGATTTGTACTTCCCTAAATCTCCCTCTGGCCTTGTTACATTGTATCCAGCATAGTGAACCCTGCAGTACAATACATTAACATTTGTAAAAACATCTTCTTAAAACTCTTCATATAAGTTATAGCAAAAGTGAAAAGTACACATCAGCTACTTTAGAGCCAAGTTTTTGCATTCAGTTACATTCTCATCCTAAAAAACCCAAAATACTCCTACACCAACAACTAAAAATGCTGGCAAAACAAAGCATGACATAATAATATTAATAACAATAATAGTAATAATAATAATAATAATAATTTTATATTTAGTATTTTCTGCTTGTTCTTAAAGCTCAACAGCATAAAAACATGAAAATAGCAAGAAAAAAAGAATAAAAACAAACTCTTCCTTTAAAAGACACCTTTTTATATATTAAACTCATGCAGACACTTCATTTCAACAGATAAATTGGAACATTTTAGATTTATTTACTGGGAGTAATACATAATGTCATGAGCATTTCCTTCCATTGTCCAATCTGGGACTATCAATATATTCACAAATTAACCTCTCTTTCAAACACTGCTCCTAAGACAGGAAACTCATCTACATGTCTCTGGGATGGTATTCCATACTGCTAACAGAAAGGGAGATGCAAATTAAAGGTAACACACAGAAGCCTTGAAGGAATGGGATTGTTAACCATCGTTATATCTGTTACAAGACCTATCTCTTAAAAACCTGCTAATTGTCTCCAGGCCAAGAAAACAGAACATCAGACTTATGCCTTCAAATGGTATATTCTGATATTTCTGAAGCAAAGCCTTCAGAATTAGAATTTTCTCATTTAAAACAAATTACGAAAAGGTAACAAGTGACAGAAGAAAAGCACCTAGGTGGATACCACAGAACAGTGAGAAAGACCCAAGTACTGAATACTCACCTGTTCCAAAGATCATCATCCTCTCCACCCCATCCCCAAAAGGCATTTGGAAAACCATTGATCTTCTTGAATTGTTCCACTGTCAGGCCACTTACACCACCGAAGAACTCATTGTATGGAAGGCTGAAAACCAAAAACAAATTCTATATTATTAGCTGAACTTTGATAGGCAACCCTGCCTTTGAACAATACCTTTCCAAAAAACAAGAGCCCCAAACTAAGGACATGAACAGAAGCTGAATGTATTCATTGTGGAAAACTGGTTGCTGGAAATTGCTGGCATTAAGTAACATGCATTAAGTTGAATAAAAGGTTTGCAGTAAAGTCTGATTTGCAGAAAAGGTGCTCTAAACTGTAGCTCAAGTTAGTATCACCAGATGAAACAAAAGTCTATCTATATATTTCAGATGGCTGATTTAGACCCATAGCTGAAGTGTTAAGTGAAACCCTGAAACTACTGCATTTTGAAACTATTCAATTCAAAACTCCTGTCTTTAATCAACTGAAAAATTGCACATCAGTAATGCATTAATTAAATAATTTTAATTCATCACTATATTCTACAGAACTGTTAAAACTTGAAACAGTTTAACAGTACGTATTCAACTATAGTGAATGACGTACCTATTTAAAAACATTTTCCAGATTTTAGAAGATAAACTTTTCAATCAAAGGGATCTATAGGCTTTTCTGTCAGTAAGCAACAGTAACTGCTAGCACATATTATTAAGTAATAAGCAGTTGGCCAACATGAACGGCCACTGTACCTATACGACATACTAAGCCCCAGCCAATTTGATTTCCAGTCCTCAAAACACTTTGTCAATCTAAACAAAAAAAAAAAAAAAAAAAAAAAAAAAAAAAAAAAAAAAAAAAAAAA